CGAATCTGCATTAGATCAGCCGTCGAACACAACCACGAGATATTTAAACAAACCGGTCTCCCGGTCGTGTCCGTATTTCCTATGTCCATGGCAACCTGGGGTGATTTATGAAGTTATGCTCTTCGCGGACATGGGCCCACGTGCGAAAGTTGGTCACGACATCTCAGACCTTGGCACGCATTGAAAAGATCGCTGTGCTCAAAGCGTCGTGCAGGATCATGATCTTTGTTGGCCGAATTCTTTAACTCAGCTTCAACAGCGAACATAACATTAGTAACGAGAGCGTGATACAAAAAAAATGAAGAAACATCGAAACTGCGAAGTACCGACGACGGTGCACAAGGCCATCATGTGGTTCTTCCGCCAACATAACCGCGAATCCGATCGTATGTCAAACCGCTTTCCTTTGAACCTGCTGCAGCCACGTGAGCCCCGAAGTCGCTCAACCACGAGTTTGCCAGCGCACCTGTGATGTCCAAGGCCAGGGGCAGCTTCCCAATCTTGTCAAACGGTCATGCGACTGTTTCAGTTGAGCTTCCTGCTCGGGCTCCATGGGGGCCACCCGCTCCATCGAGACCGAACCCGTCATGTGTGCAATGACCCCCTGGTCTGCACAATGCAGCACGTTGGCCATGCAATGCTCCTCCTCCGCATCCAACAACATATCGGAACAATGGTGGAAACGATGTTCCTACACTTCTGAACTTCATCAAAGTAGCTCCTATGAGTTCTGGCGCTTGCCCTCCACCCCGCCCCACGTGTCGCACAGAAACGGATGCCCTGCACTTCCAGCAGCCAGGCTCGTTTTCATTGCGCGTGGTGAACCACAGCTGTTCGCTGAAAAAACGCCGAATCGCCCCTACATTGCAAGAGGCTCCCTCCGAACCTCTCTCTACACGTTTTTCAATCAACACTTTGTTCGTCGAATCTGCAAAGATTCCCCGCAACTTATCCCACACCTGGTCGTTCATTTCCGTACTATTTAAACATGATTCGCGCGAGTTTTTTTTTATATGTAAATATACATATATATATATATATACATGACTATATGACTATATGTATATATATATATACATATACATATATACATACATACATACATATATATATACATATATATATATATATATATATATCAAGCGCCCCCAAGTCCGATCAAACTGTTCCAAGAAATTGCATGCACCGAATCTTGGCGCGAGTGCTCCCCCCCTCTCCATGCAGGACAGGTGCGCTTGCTGTTGACAGCTCAGCCAAGGACTTCGCCCTGAGAACAGGGTGTTGGGCTGCGACAGCTTGGCCAGAGTAAAGGTTCCCAAATGTTCTAGCATCAGGGAGCCCACCTAATGTCGACCTCTTGAACTCTTGAACTCTAATCGCTTCTCAAAATAAATATTCTCAAACGGAATATACGGTAACAATACGGCGATCCTCTTCTCACCGGCTGTGCACGGGATTCACGGGTAAGAAATTCAAAAAGGCCCTGCTGGAGATCGGCTCGTGTGCACAAGGTCGCCAAATATATTGTCAGGCTGATGGCCGCACGCGCCCAGCCTAGCATGCCCTTCCGGTCCAACGGCACCCTGTGCTGCGGCCGCCATCGCTATCTCTTGGACAGCGTAAGAGCTGATGTCACCCATTGCAAACTTTTTCGAGCAAGGATATCGTTTACAAACGAAGTCGAAGCCCCCTCGCGGTTAGGACCAACCGTGTCATATGATTCGGTGTAAGCCGTACATATGGCACAATATATGTAGCATCGTCATATGATACATCAAATGCAGTAGCAATGCGTACAACATGAACAATAGCATATGGGACGTCACCGGTGCCATCACATGATACGCCAGTGGTCATGCCACATGTGAAGAGATACCGAGTGTCATATGATCCTTTTATGAAGGCTCGCATCTTCTACGTCGGAGGCCCTAGCGCTCCAGAGACGTCAAATGTAGTATACTATGGCACAACACACGTATGATCGTATAACGCGCCATATGTAAAACCATGTGGCGCGACATCGGTTATACCTATACGACCACCCTTCGGGTGATAAGGAGGTTTGGGGGGGAGGGACCAACGTCTCACTCGATCGGTCTCACTATCGATCTCAGTATCGGTCTCGCTCGATCGATATCCCTCGATCGATCTCACAATCGATCTCACAATCGATATCACTCGATCTCAGTTCACTCGATCTATCTCACTCACACTCGACCTCACTCGATCATCATCATCATCATCGTCCTCATCATGATCAGCATCATCATCATCATCAGCATCAGCATCATCATCATCAGCATCAACATCAGCATCAGCATCATCAGCAGCATCATCCTCAGCATCACCATCATCATCATCACCATCATCAGATCATCATCAACATCAACATCAACATCATCATCATCATCATCATCATCATCATCATTCTCATCATCATCATCATCAACAACATCATCATCATCATCATCATCATCATCATCATCATCATCGCGGGACA